GTTCTTATTGCTATGTTTTATTGTAAAATTCTTGATTACATTTAAATTCTCTTGTAAAAACTAATTGCTCACTCCTGATACAAAATGTTTTATTGTAACAATCATTCCTCAGAAAGTATGTTATAATCTGTATTATTTTGCAGACCCGAGAGTTGATTGAAGACTTGAAATCTGCTAGTGGTATGGAAATGCAAGGTGGCAAAAGCAAACTAGGAACTGATTCCAAAACTCTATTAAGAATATTGTGCCACAGGAGTGACTCAGAAGCCTCTCAATTTCTAAAGAAACAATTCAAAATACCTAAGTCTTCTACTTAGGAATATGTGTAACAAAAGGGAAGCAGAAAAATTTTCATTTTGGTGCTAGCTTTCTGTGAATATTCATTGCTGCCAATGTGCCATTTTTTGTTGGAAACTTGGAATTATTAAAATTACCAATGTGGTGTATAATTAGAGGCCATAACTGTTTTTTTTTTTTTTTAATCTAACTACAATGTTGTTGACCTTCATTTGTAAAATTTTCTCCATGTGAATACTGACTGTAAGAATTTAATTAATGAAGCTGCAATTTCATTTTTATAAGGATGATTGTTTTATATTAAAAAAAAAACACTTCACATTTGTACAACTTAGCTCCTAAACTTCCGAATAAAGCAATTTTCTATCAAACTACTTGATTGAACAAGTTTATTATGAAGCATTTTAACATAAGACTGGATTTACATATTTGCTCAAAGGAATCTTTCTCCTATAACATATAATATGATTAAGGGCAGACTGAAGTAATAAAAGATTTAAGGTAAACTGTCTTCTTTCTTTTGTTATAGCAGTATCAAATTTTTATTGAAAATTGTAATATTTAATAGTATTAAAGTATTTAATTACAGTAAGTTTTATTTTTTTTTAATTAAAAAATTACTATATATGCAATGTTTTACAAGTTAAAAAAATTATTTTTAAAATTAGACTTATTAATAAATTGGTAAAGGCAATGATTTATGGTTTTCTTGTTTGATCATGGTTGAATTAGTGAGAAGCTATTTTAAAGTGAGAAGTGCTTTTCAGATTATACAACACAATTATAATCATTGATTCAAACTAAAAAAAAAAAGAGCCTTGATTAATTTATTAACGGTTAAGATTTTAATAATTTCACAGCTTATTCTACACGTGTATTTTATTAAAATTTAATGTTAATTTTATAATTAACAATTATATAGTGTTTTTTATTTTAGAGAAGTTAAGTATAAATTGATGATAATTAAATATATTTTTATTATTATATAAGACATTATATATAAACTACAAGAAATTAAGTTAAACTTTAAGTTACCTAGAGCTCATATTATACGTCTTATAATATAAAATAATTGTTGAATAAAAATAAATCAATTTAAACATTAGTATAGTTTAGAATTTAATATTACGAAGAATTTGTGAAATTTAGTATTGATGTATTGATAGGGTAAAATTTTATATTAGTCAATCAAAACCCAAGATGAATTTTTCACAATTTTTTTTGTACATAATAACTCAGACAAATTTAAAAGTAAACCATTTAAATTGTATGGTTTTTGTTGGTTAATACAGTTTGTACAATAATTGATTAATAGGTATAACTTCTACTTCTGATTATTAATTTTAAATAATAACACTTTTAAGAATATATTTAAATAATAATACTTTTATAAGTATATTTAAATGACAACGTTTTTAAATTTAGTTTTTTATCTATTTTTTTCATTATGATTCTTAAATTTAATATTAATATTAATTTTTATTTTTCATTATTTTAAAATTTAAAATATTAATATAATATATTTTAATTATATTTAGAAAACAATTTAATTTAATAATACTTATGCGATGCAAAGAAAAATTACCAGTAACTTTAAAATAAGTGGAGTTAAATTTAATGTTGTCATCAATAAGAGTTCATAATAAATTTTAACTTGTCAGAATTAGTATTCTAGTGTTATATATATATATATGGTATGTATGGATGTAATGAAAAATGTGTAGAAAGAAAATAAGTAGAAAAAAATTATGATGATAAAGAAATATATGAAGAATGTGTTCTTTAGATGGATAAATATAAGAAAGAAAGTAGGGAAAAAATTTTACTTCTTTGAATGAATGAAAAAGAAAATAAAAAATAGTTAATTTATATATAAAAAATAATTTTATAATAGCAATAAAAATTTTATTTTAACAAAATTAATAAATTAACATAATAGTATTTTAGTTGTGTTATTTTTAAATTTTTATATTATTTTAAAAATATTTTCAATAAAATAGAATAAAATAAAAATATTATCACCTTTTTCACAGAAAATCTAACTATTTATGTGAGAAAATTTTTGTGTAAGTTCTAATATATATATATATATATATATATTCTTTTTCACTCATATAAAGCAACACATCCAAACACATCAAAACTTTCTTTTCCAACACTTTTCTATCTTACTTGATCTTTTTTCTTCAAACATAAAATGGCGAAAAGTTATATGGGACTTAAAAGCTGAAAAATTAACCAATTGAATTGAAAGTATTTGGCTGAAAATTTAGTTGATTGAATCCAAAGTAGTTGATAAATATAAAATAATAAATAAGGACATATCGAAATTAAAATTTTGTAATAATTTTTAAAAACTATATAATCTTTATATTTTAATTTTTAAATCAATTATCATCTTTAAATTAAGATAATAAGTAATTAATTTTATTTTCGTTTATAAATATTTTATAATAAAAAAATGACTTTGTTAAATCTTTTTCAAGACAATAACAATTTTTAAAATAATAAATGTTGTGACATTTATTTATTTTTATTATTTGTTAGATATTTTATTTTCTTACAATGAAAAATAAAATAAAGTTAATTAAATAAATTTTTATTTCATCAATCTTTTAATTATATACAAATAAAACTTATATGAAATTTTTATTTTTTCTTTACTGAATATTTTTTTCAATATAAAGATAAAAAATTTCTATTAAAGATTTAAATAATTATTCAATAATTGAAATAAACAAATTAAAACAAGGATAAAATAGTAGTCTAGTGGAAGAAATTTTTTAAAAATAATAAGAAAAAAAAATAAAATCACTTTCAATTAGTAGCTAAAAATAAAATAATACTAGTATGAATAATCTTTACAAAAAAACACTAGTAACCCAAAGTGATGTATGTAAAAAGCAAACTTTTCAGTTAATATAATAAGCTTTCAACTAGTTGAAATGTTTTATTAAGCACACTCTTAACATATTCTAATATTTATCATCGGAAAATCAGATTTAACGTATTAAAGAAAAAAAAATAACTTAAATACTTCACATATTCTTATTCTTTTGACTTAATAAGTCTTCGTACTTTAGTTTATCTGCAATTTTAATTTTTCAATTATAATTAATTTTTATATTTTTTTAATTGCTCAAGTTAAGTAATTTATTTAAATTTTTAATAATTAATAAAAATAAAATATATCATTATTTTATATAAATTTTAAAAAATTATAAAATTAAATAAACTTTTTTATTGTATTTTTTAAATATTTTTATTAATTATTAAATAAAATTTTATCATAAAAACTTAATTTAAATATTTAAAATTAAAAAAATAAAAAGAAATAAAATTGCATAAGAAAAATGTAATTGAAGCTATCTTTCTTTATGAATAAAATAAAAGTACATGTTATGGTATATGTAAATTTGAGAGGATATTATATATATTTTTAAATTAATTATAATAATTCTTTTAATATTTTAAAAATAAAAGATAGTAACGTTTTTTAATTAAATTATTGATTTTATTATTTATTAATATAAAATTAATAATCAAACTTACTTTACGTGTGATAAAAAATACTAAATTTTTTCAATTACAAAAATACTTAAATATACAGTAAATTTTACTTAAATTAAATATGTTTGGAAGAATACGGAAGCATATATGATTGGGCCCTGACTTTTTTTTCTTTTATATACAAAATTCAAAGAAATCGATCGTTGAGCTGTTTTACAACCTTTCCTTCTGCGTCTCGTGCATCTCGTGCCGTTAATTAATTATAATATTATAAATATCAATCAACAATAATTATCATATATGCTACATATTTAAGATTTTAATTTTTAATTTCTGGCAACCTTTAACTTTGCCAAAAGAAAATATATACAATTTAATTTTGGAAAGCAATATATTATTTTTTCATTAAAAGTTTTACTTTATATAAATTAGTTTAAATATATTAATTTACTCACAATTTTATTCTTTTTTATAAATATATAAGCAAAATAGAAATGAAATCTAAATACAATGAACGTATTCAAAGACTAAATTATATATATATATATATATACTAATATTCTTTAGGACTAATTAGTTTTTAAAAGGATTAAAATGAGAATAAAGTTATACATTCAAAAACTAAATTATACAAAGTAAAATTTTCGGATATTAAATATTTATAAAATATCATTTTTAAAATACTAATGTATGTATTCAGTCAAAAATAATATTAATATTGGTATTTAGAGTTAGTTTTAAAAGATAAAAAAATATTATTTTGAATACTTGCATTTAATCTTTAACTTGAAAAATGATTTTGACAAAATTAAAAAAGATTATGTCCCTCGGAGATTCAAGAATCATCCTTCTCAAGCAATAGCTATAACTTAAACTTTGCAGGATTGATCTAACATAAAGAAATGTTCCCTATTCTTAATATATTTTATTTTTTGTTTGAAAATAAAATTGATCTATTATTTAATTTCTTCCTCACCAAATATATTTTGCTAATACTGACAAGGATAGCACACATCACATGGAAGTGGACTTGCCTGAAAAATCAAAATTTAATGATAATATATATTATCTTTGCCTTCCAATGATAGATTTCATTATTTAATTTCCCATTTAACAGTGCACACATAATTGTTTCCACTACTCAACATTTGCTGAGAGTTTATAAAAGTGAAACAAATCTGAAGCTGCTTGTGATGGCTTTCAATGTTCATCTTCTCACTGGGATTATACTCATTCTTATCTCAGCCACAATCATTGTCGAAGCTGCAACGATGTTCATTAACGATGCATCTCTCAATCGAAGTAGTTTCCCAGAGGGTTTTATTTTTGGAACAGGATCGTCTGCTTACCAGGTACTCCGAATTTTCCAATATTCTTTTAAGGATGCTTTTGAAATCATGTTTATGAAAATAATTTACGACCCATAAATTTTTTAGTTTATTTTAATATTTTTACATAATATATGAATATAAGTCTTTTTATCTTATTCAAATAAATATTATACTTAAATTTACGAAAAACACTCATATAAAGAGAATATTTGAAAAATCTTACGAATAATTTGTGAATATAAATTATATAACTCTTGTATTTATGCACTGATTTCCAGTTCGAAGGTGCAGCTAATGTTGGTGGCAGAGGCCCCAGTATATGGGATACGTACTCTCATATGTATCCAGGTCTTTTTTCTTTGCCTGTAGTGCTACTGTCACTTATATATGCTCACTTTGACCCAATTTAAGTAATTATAAAATAAAAATATAAAAAAATAAAAGTTATGTTATTCTTTTCAATATCTACAAACGCATGAGTTTAAATTTTTTGGTTTAACTTATATGCGTATATGTGGATTTTATTGTAAGATAAAGTAAATATTTGTAAGTTTAAATATATTAGTTATGTTAGATTAATTAATTGCATTTATTGGAGGTTCCATCGGTATACAATTACTTATCACATCATACAAATACTTTAAAAATTTGTGTGTGAACTCTTCCTGTTTGAGACTAATTACGTATCAAACTCAATTATTACTATTTGGTAAACAGAATTTGAGGCCACTTCATATTAGTAAGGTTGGTTCAAGAAATATTTTTTGACTCAAATAAGTTTTTAATTGCATGCAAAAATAGAGCACTTGAAAAGAAAATTAATTCTTACTAAATAAGATATTTTTATTTTTTAACCTTTTTAAAAATAAGTGTTTTGATGCCATTTTATCTAAAATACCTATTTTTAATTCCTGTTGTTAAAAACAATAATATTTTATCTTACAACTAATTTTAAATAATTAAAAACAATAATATTTTATTAAAAAATTATTAATTATACTTTTATATACTTATTAAATTTTTAAAGACAGATTAATAAAATCATTATTTTATAAATATAACTCAAAACATAATTATGGTAACCTAAATTCTTAACTAAACACAGCACCATTTAAAAATAATAAAAATAATAAAGAAGTAACAATCAGAATGAAAAAAAAAAAGGTGAGTATACTTATCAATAATACTGTGTATGTAATATAGTCTTTATTTAATCTTATCAATTAATTTAATTTACAGTAATAATTATTCTTGATCTGATAGATTCATGTGTACAATTATAAATTCCATGATGTTTTGCATGAAACATGACAGATAAGATAGTGGACAGAAGTAACGGAGACGTTACCATCGATCAATACCATCGTTATAAGGTATGACAATAAAGCACACTTGTACCACGTTACCATATTTATTTAATTATAATGAAACAATAAAAAAAACAAAGCATAATTGAAATTCTTTACATAACTGTTAATGCAGGAAGATGTTGAAATCATGAAGGAACTAAACATGGATGCTTATAGATTCTCAATCTCTTGGTCCAGAATACTGCCAAGTAAGAAACAGGGAACTAAGAAACTTTATTTTATACATTAGCTTTCTTTAATCATGCCAATTAAAAAATATATATATTATTGTATAAATGGATGACTATTTATTTAAATTTTAGATCCTTTGGGTAATTTCAGAGGGAAAGGTTAGTGGAGGAGTGAACAAAGAAGGAATCAACTATTACAACAACCTCATCAATGAGTTGCTAGCCAAAGGTCAAAATGTAGTTAAATGTTTTCTCTTTTTTAAGCAATTCTTTTTCACTAATTTAGGTGTAAAGGTAGAAATAGTTACTTTAATTAACATTCATAACCTTAATGCAGGTCTGAAACCCTTTGTGACTATTTTTCATTGGGACCTTCCTCAAACCTTAGAAGACGAATATGGTGGCTTTTTAAGTCCAAATATAGTGTAATTCACATCTCTTATAGCCAATAATCAAAATATGTTTAGGTAAGCATACTATTACTAACTATCTACTCTTTGGTTATGATAGGAATGATTTTCAAGACTATGCAGAGCTTTGTTTTAAAGAATTTGGAGACAGGGTGAAGCATTGGATTACATTAAATGAACCATGGACCTTCAGCAAATATGGCTATGCTGATGGCATTTCAGCACCAGGACGATGTTCACCTTGGCAAAACTTGAATTGCCCTGCTGGTGATTCAGCCACTGAACCTTATATAGTGGCTCACAATCAGTTACTTGCTCATGCAGCTGCTGTCAACATTTATAAGACTAAATATCAGGTTGGGTTATATATTTGTATTTTGAAAATTCAGCTGAAAATGTGTAATGATTATCTTACGTGTTTGATTTTGGTGTTATCAATGGAAAGATACTCGTAAACTGAAATTGTTAAAATATACTGTAGATATAATTTTAATTAATTATGATAAAACATTAATATTTTTATTAATATGATAATTTATAATTATGTAAAAAGTTTATATTGCTAATTTATTTTAATTTCAATTAAATTTTTATTTTATTTAACAAGAAGGGCCAATTTTGATCCTTGAGTATTTTTAAGAAAAAAATAAAATAAATCAAACTTCTCCTATTATGTACTTTAACATTTAAAGAAGTTAAATAATAATTTTAAAAAATAATTTAAGGTACATGATTGATTTTAACTTATAAAAAATTTATATATATATATATATATATATATTATTTTATATTTTTTCTAATTGATCACTAAATTAAAAATTCATTTCCTTTGTGCATCAGGCATCTCAAAAGGGTATTATAGGAATATCACTACCATGTCACTGGATGGTGCCACTCTATGATACAGAGTTGGATCGTGGTGCTGCACAAAGAGCCCTTGATTTCATGTTTGGATGGTGACTACTTAAAGAACATAAACTCTTATGTGGAATTAACTATAGTATCATAGTAATTGAACTTCATTAAAAGGAGAGACCAAATCATAAACCTGTCTTAACTTCTTTTTTTTACTAAAGAGCTTATTTGAATATTTTATTTGTAGGTTTATGGAGCCATTGACAAAAGGAGATTACCCCAATTCTATGCGGTCGTTGGTAGGGAACCGATTACCAAAGTTCTCTGCATATGAAGTGAGGCTTGTAAAAGGGTCCTTTGATTTTATTGGATTAAACTATTATACTTGCTACTATGCCACTGATGCACCTGAATTAAGTGAAGCCAGGCCTAGCTACCTCACAGATTCTCTTGTTAGTCTTACAAGTATGTGCATTTTTATGATATGAGAGATTATGACACCATAAATATATGATCAATGCAAATTGATACTCTAATGCATTAATAATAGTACAATTTTATCTGTTTTGAAGCCCAAATCAATTGCAATTGATAAATCAATGATTTGTTATTGTTGATTTGTGACAGGTGAGAGTAATGGAATACCTATTGGTGAAAAGGTAAATTTGTAAATACTTTATTCCATTCAGTTTTTCAACTTGATGAAGAAAATGAAACGTGTATACTTGCAGACTACTTCAAAATGGTTGTTAGTTTGTCCAAAAGGGATTCAAGAACTGTTGCTCTATATTAAAACAAAGTATAACAACCCTTTGATCTACATCACTGAAAATGGTAATTCGAACTAAATTCACTTTCAATTTAGCTATTAAATTCATTTTCCTTCTCACTTATATTCTTTTGGGAAACAATTTATTTATGTATAGGTATTGATGAATTCAATGATTCAACACTCTCCCTTGAGGAAGCCCTTGCTGATGCATCCAGGATTGATTACTATTATGATCATCTCAATTATCTTCAAATTGCAATCAAGTAAGTGATATATAACATATCCAAAATGTAGATTCTTTTTTCTAGTTAATTAGTCTATCAACCCCTCTATATGAAACTAAAATATTTACTTTTGAGAATAATAATCTTTCTTAATCTTCTTTCTTTTTTTATTAAACCAATCATAGACTTTTTTTTTACATCAAGTATTTCAATTTTTTTATCAGTCTAATATACTACTGTTTAAATTTAGTCGTTTTGAATTTGAACCGGATAAAGTATATTTTTAATTTCTGTAAATAAGATTTAACTTTAATTTAGTTTACTAAAAGTTTTTTTTGTTGATATTGATTCACCTAAATTTGAAAACTTTAAAAACAATTTATATTATCATTACTAATGAGTAATGACATAACATGCATCTAAATATTTTACATTAATCGACCAAAATCAGAAAAAAAAAATTAAAGAATTAAGACCAAGTTTAATTAAGCCATATTTACAGTGATTAAATATATTTAATTTATTTAAATTTATATTTTAAATCTTAACATATTATATCAAATCAATAGACACAAAGATTACGTGAATTGATTCACAGAATTTTATTTTAACAATTTCTTCCTCAGTTTAAAAAAATCTTTTTAATAATTTAATATTTAAATTGTGATATCATCATTATTGTTTAATCATAGTAATATATATATATATATATATATATATATATATAATTTACCTGAATATAAAAGTATATGAAAATATTGCTGATTATATAATTTAATGTATCACTAATTTTGTTGATTTGGAATTTATCAGGAATGGCGTGAACCTAAGAGGATATTTTGCATGGTCATTACTTGACAGCTTCGAATGGACTTTAGGTTACATTTCAAGGTTTGGATTAATCTTTGTAGATTACAGCAACAACCTCAAAAGACATCCAAAGCTGTCAGCCATTTGGTTCAGAAATTTCCTACAACGCAAAGTAGTAACACATGATGATTTACGCTAAGATCATCAATTTCATTAACCATGTATAAAGACGATCCCAATTAATGATTATTTTTCTAATCAAGTATAATGGTAGCAATTTGTTGGTATAAAATATTTGTTTTCTCAACAATGCAGTCGTGGATTAAAAAATAATTATTACAGCAAATTTTATTTTTGCTAAAATATTTTAACAACTTCTCAACAATATCAAATGATCATCGACCAGAACATACTAAATTTTGATGATTTTTAGTTTTGCTAAGATAAGCATGACAGCGATATCAACTGTCATTGCAATTGCAAATGATAGTCGTCAATGTTTTTTATACACTGCATGAATATTAATAATTTAAAATATTTTTAATAGAAAATTAAAAATACATTACATGTCTAATTTAAAATTTAACAAAATTTATATATTAAATAAGAATATTTTTTTTATTACTGATAATAATTATAATGTTATACAAAATGAGAATAAACTAAAGTCAGAACATTTTTAAAACTTTAAGAAATTATAAATTTTAAATTAAGATTAATTCAACAAATATTTTTTCAAATATGGTGTGTAAAAGTTCAATTAATAATTAACCTCTATATATAAATTGGTAGCACTAATTTTTGAATGAGAACATCTTTAGAGATTAGTTATTCTATATCATTTCCAGAATTTTTTTTATATTATGTATTCTTTTAATGTAAAATTAAATTAAATTTTAATATTTTCATAATTTATTTTAATTCTATTTAATATAATAAAACTTTATTATATTAATAATTATAATAATCTACCTTTTTGAAATTATAAAATTTATTAATTTAAAAATATTCATGTAATGTATTTTTTATAATTTATTTTAAAATTTTAAATTAATGATACTTGTATGGTGCATGAAAAATTACTAGTTAATAATTTAAACTGAGCAATAAAAGTGCTTAATAAAGACAATATATAACTAGTAAATTTTTCATGCATTGCACAATTATCATTAAAATAAAATAAAATATTTAAATAATTCATTAAAATATATTATCTCATTATTTTTAAATTCAATAATTTTAAAAGAATAAACATTATAATCATAAATAACAGATATTATATTATATTTGAACTTTTAATTAAAAAATAAATTACAAGAAAGTCAAATTTTAAATTAATATTAAAAAATATTATTACTTCCATCATTCACTAAATATGCATTCTGTATTATCTTACTTGTCTACTCTTATGCGTATAGATGTACATATGCGTATGCATTACGATATGTACCCCGAGTTATGAATTTATTTTTATTATTTAATTGATTGAATTAGTAAAATGTACTAATTTAATTATAAAATATATATTTTAAATCATTTTTTAATAATTAATATTTATTTTAATATTATCAATTAATTGACGTTCAAGTAAGATATTGTGATATTATTTTATTTGATTTCGTTTTGAAAGTTAAATAAATATTATAAATTTTTATTAGCAAAAAAATAAATATTATAAATTTCATTATTTGGTAATATTATCTCAGTAATAAAGGTGTATTTTTTAAATATTCTTATTTATTCAATTTGAGAAAATTGTTATAGATTATATTTTTTCATAGCATTTATGTTATTTTAAATAGGATTTTATCCTATTATTAAGCCAATAACTAAAGAAAAGAGTGAGAGAATGGAATAAAAATGCATTTTTTTTTAAACTTCGGTCATTAAGGGAAACTTGAAACTAGTCTTAATTGTATATGTAAACTTGGAGTGATTGTTTAGGAGGGTTCATATTTAGTAGAAATCATAATTTTTAGAGAAAAGATAATAGTAAAGTGAAAACATGTGAGGGAAAAATGGTGATGTTAGTAGGACTTGAAATATTTGAGCAATTATGAGTGAGATACCTTGTAGCATGTCAAATAGAAAGAGTATAAGTAAATTGAGTTTTTATAAAATTTTAAATTAGATTAATGAATGAATACATAGAAAAATAACTTCATAAGGCCTCAATTAAGACACTTAGAATAATTATTGTTAAGAGAAATTAAGGGAATGTGAAACTAAAATTATTTAGGTAAAATATCTTATAAGATATTTTAAGGAAAATTTTGATAACAAGAAAAATTCACAATATAAAACTTATATGATGCTATAAAGATTGTGAATGTTGATGATTGTTCTGTGACGAGACTTGTTTTGTGATAAGTGATAGTGATTTGATCGTGATAGATTTAGTGCTCGTGAGGCTTTTGTATCAAAAGTTGAGATGAGCATTCATGAAGCTCTGATACCATACATTGAAAAATGATTGAAGCACATAAATAATTTGATTGAAAATATGCATATCATGTGTGTTATGTGGATGAGGTTGGGAAAGCTACAATCTGGTAACTATTGAGATATTGGATGTTAAAGTCATAGAGGTAGACCTTGAGAATAGTAGCAGGGGTGTCACCTCAATGGTATGGAGTCATGCCTTAAGTTGGGTTGATCGATCATCTACAAACTTACACTAATTTGACCGGAACGAGTATTACTACAGGTCCATTCCAGAATATTTGATGTGGTGTTTTATCAATAAATAATGTTTTGCCTACGAGCTGATACCACAGTAAGAAATAAAGTCCTCAATCGCTTCCACAATATGGATACACATGTAGTGAAACATTGATGTGAATAAATTTGCATGCATTGGCACAAATAAGATATGGAAAATATAACTAAACTTGCATCACGGATTGCTTTTTACATGGATTCTAATTTGTTTGATCTTGAATTATGTAGGTGAGTGCTTTATTTTTTAATATGACCGAGTGTTATGTATGTGGGATTGTTGTGTTGTGTATGCTTGGTGTTTTTGCCATGTAGAAAGATGTGGAACATGAGCTTACCCTTTACATTTACTTACATATTTCTTTCTGTCTCTCTTTCTTGTTGTGGTGTATGCATTAAATGGGTTTTATCCTCGTACAGATCTATGTAACCTTCGCCAATAATAGAGGTTGATCCTACAACACTCGGACTAGAGAGAGAACTTTTCATGGATGAGTGTCTATCAACTTCTTGCACCCTAACCTTGACATTCATCATGTCACCGCTAAGATCAAGCTACCTATACATGCGATTACAGTCCTGCATGAGATTTACTCCTAACCCTTTATGCCAGACATTGCCAGCTTTTATGAGGGAGCATTGCCACATGTCATCCACACACTTACATTAGTTACCATAGTGTGGAAGGATGTACACATGGGGGAGTCTTCGATTCACTTGTGTTGTGTGCCACATCATTTCGTGAGCTTGATAAATGAGGATGATGACTCTAACCTAGCTGGGTGTGGAGGCATGAAAGAAGAAAATGACGAAGATTGGAAGGAAGACTCAGGAAAGACGTAGAAACAGACAATAATGATGAACTAATATTTAGGACTACTTTTAAGGTAAGAAGATCCTATGATTACAATTATTTTGACAGATGATAAGATTCGGTGCAACTTTGTAGGTCTCCTATATATTTTGTATCTATGTAAAAAGTGAGATAGGAAGATTTGATTATACTACTCATATTATTTAAATACATTTCAGCGTAAGAATATTTGATTAATCTGTTCACATTATTTATGTATGTAAAATTATATTTAACCGTAAGATAGAATTGGAAAAAAAATGCTTTTAGTTAATATTTAAGAAGATGAAAAAAATAAATAAAATAATATTGTTTTAATTAAAGTTAATAAAACATTTGTACCATTTTTATTAAATAGTAAAATAAGTGGATAAAAATAAATTATTAATAGATCAAATTGAGAAATAAATTATAGAAATTAAACAAAAATTTTAAATAAATATTATAGCACGTTAGGAATTGTTTAAGCTTTTAAAAACTAATTATTTTTTAAAATTAACAAAAAATAATTATTCCTTTTAAATAATTTGAATCAAATAGGATATGAGCATTATTCCATTCCCTTCCATTTGGTAAATTTAAAAAGCGACCATGCAACCCAGTTATGATTGTTTTGTAGTGGCAGTGCAGTGGTGTGGTGCGAGGGTGTTTGAAATCAATGGCTGCTTCAGTTGGAGGGAACGCTAACACGAGTGGGGGGGTCGAGTGGCACGTGCGTCCTCCAAACCCTAAGAACCCCATCGTCTTCTTCGATGTCACCATCGGTAACATTCCAGCGGGTCGAATCAAGATGGAGCTCTTCGCTGATATTGCCCCCAAAACCGCCGAAAATTTCAGGTACCCTGCCACCCTTCATTTTTTTTTTATTGCTCAGTTAAAGTGCATTTGCTATCACAGAGGGTTATTCTGGTAATTATCCATTTCTACCTTGCCTTGGCTTTGAGCTTTCTTTGTTAGTTACCTTTGTTGTGACGCTGTGACTGAATTTCCACGAATTGGAGAAAACCAACAAATAAAAAATAATTAAAAAAAATTAATGGGTTGAAAATGCTATAAATACGTGCTGAGAAATGGTTTGTAGTCTTTTGCGTTGTGTTAAAATACATAATAACTTGTTGACCTATGAAGTACTGGCGGACATATATGTTTAGAATTGGCGTCGTTGGGAAATGGTAGATTGTGAATTTTGGTTTCAATTGAATTTATTTGTATGAAAGGAAAAAAAAGTATATCAATTTTGGCTAAGTTTGATTGCAGAAACATTTGTAGTCGTTGCGATTTTCAAACTGTTGCCTTATTTGGATTTCACAATATTTCATATGAATTTAACTGTTGGAACTGAAAAGTGAAAGAACATACTACAATTAGTAGGCTTTGGTTTCCTTAGTTGATGTGATATTATATTATCTGTTTTACTTTAGAATTTCATAGACTTGAGTTTCAGCTCAATGTTTCATTCATCTACATGGTAATGACCATCAAAAAGATGTTTGTTAATGTATTGCATGTTTGGAAGCTTGTGTGGCTGTAGAAGGATATAGATGATTTGATTACTTCTAGTAGACAATTTTTTCTCACTCCTCCTTAAACTACATTTTGGGCTTTTTTGGTGTCAGTGTTTGTTATTGCAATTGAGATTCTCTTTATTGACAATTTCATGTCCTTTCAATTGATGGGTTTGGCTTTTGTTATTTGGCAGGCAGTTATGCACTGGGGAGTTCAGGTAATGAAACAGTCTTTTCCAGTCTGGCCAACAATTATAGTGGTTTTTTAATCTTTATTTATTTATTTTAATTTTTCATTAAGATTTTGAATTATCACTATACCTTTTTTCTTATACCCACCACCCCATTATACACCATTATCATCTCTATACTGTGATAATCTGTGTTACTGAATTGCTAATATAAGATTCATAACCTTAATCTTTGAGTTGGTAACACATTCTTGCCAATTCCTGCTTTCAATGTATGAAAGTTGAAAGAGGATTAACCCTATGTGTTTAGTGTTGTTTTCTTTGCTATCACCATTTGTTTTCATGATTGATGAATTGACAATGTTGATATTTCCAAGTTAATGTTGACGGAGATAAGGTTGTTGTCTTTTGACCTGATGGTCACAGTTTGAAATTGAACCAGTCTCTCCACTTATTAGGTTAAGGCTTTGTACATCTACCCTCTCCAGACCCCCCTAACTGGGAGCCTCATGCAATGTGTCACCTTTAATGTTGACATGGTGATAAAGGGTTGAGCACATAAAGTCTTGAAAATATTTTTTACTTTCATTCCTTGTATGGGTATGGGGGAGGGGGGATGGTTGTCAAGATCATGGTTCAACTCGTAGAAGTACAATTCTGTTCATTTGGAAGGTTGAAGTGATCTGAATCATAGTTCAAAACTCATTTGCTTGGATGCCACCCCAGCACATAAAACCTGTGGGATTGTAAGATCCTAGTGATCCTACCTTTTTCACCAAATGTCTTTGGTGATCAGCCCAAATTTAGAACCAGAAAATACCTGAAGGAAACATGAAGCATGAACTTGGACACAGACACTCCAATGTATATATATTATAATGAACCTTATAAAATAGCATGTCCATTGATTTCTGCTGTGTTGACTCAAGTGTTAGAGCTGATAAAAAATAATTTTTTAATTGGACACCTAATAAGGTGTATCCAACACAAGTCATACAAGTGTTTGGAAAGTGTCAGTGCCGGAAACATGGCCCTGCGTTACAACCCATCTCCTTGCTGCAACTAAAATCTGCAATTGCTTGTGCCTTCTTGCAACTGTAATTTTTGCTTAACCCTTCCCAACTGTTGGTGAGAGAAAAATATTATTTATTAAGTAAATATAAGAACCAAATATATGCCAACACTGTTGGTGAGTTTCAGTTATAACTAATACTTTTTATGATCTGGTTTTATTGGCAGGAAAGCCGGCCTGCCTGTTGGTTACAAAGGTTGTCAATTTCATAGAGTGATTAAGGATTTTATGATTCAGGCTGGTGATTTTGTAAAGGTACTGTTTTGGTCAGGTTTATCTTTGACTTTATCTGTTTTACTCATACAATGGGTGTTTGTGTTAACATTCATGAATAATAAAATAAGCTGATTACTTCAATGGTCCATATGATTGGTTTGATGATATTGGACACGTACAACGTAATGTTTATTTCAGTTATAGAGTTGATGTTTTTTGCCCAATATTTTATGGATACTATCTTTCTCGTTAGTATCAATCCCAAATAGCTGTGTGGAGTTGTTGACTGCAAAACAGGTATAGCAGGACAGGGTGATGGCTACTATTCTGAAGTTTTTAAATACAAATAAATATTTATGTTACATATACATAAATGCTCAAAAATAGTAAAAAAATAAAATAAAATTATGACATATACAGAATTAGTATTATTCAAGTCTCACAGCCTTAAGCTAAACCCACAAGTCAATAATAACAAAAATTAAGGAATTAAACAAGTCTATAAGGCTTGAAGTAGTTATAGACTTTCTGAATTGTGTGATGTTTCCTGTACACACACTTGTGTATTTATATTGAAAACAATTAATTTCAAGGCTAATTATAAGGAAACATAATCATCTAAATCAGCAACCTATCTAATCAAACAATGAGTCACTATGATAAATATATGCTGAATCCCACCTGTAGTCAATTCAGAATACTACAAAGGAAAATGACTATAACAAAAGGGTGAGCAACATCATAGAAAGAGGCAGACAAAAGCATGGACTGTGTGAGATGAAAAATGCTTGCACGAAAACTGAGTCATGCTATATAGAGGGCATGCTAAACACAGGAAGTGCAGAACAAGGCAACAGTTTACTGTGCATGGCCAGAAAAGCCATGCTTGGCCAGAACTACACCAGCAAGTAGTCTGTCAAAGGGATTTTGTCAAAACAGAGGAGGCTGCTCATGAAGCCAAAATGCTCTTGACTGGATTCTTGTAGTGATAGAAGGCTGCGAGACATGCTATGCTGCACTTATAAGCCCAAATAAATTAAATAGTTTTTTTTGTTCTAATATTTAATTGGTAAGTTCATGGTAGGGTAGATATTCAATCAATTAGAAGGCATGCCAGTTGTGGTAGCTTTTATATGTAACCTTAACTATCAACCCAAATATCAGAGCAGAGTAGTTAACCCTAAAAATGTTGTAGTGTGAGAGCTCATAGCTGGATGACTACTTTTCTGAAGTTTGAGATACACAAAATAATGTATACCAGTATACCACACATATACTTGCTCAATAATATATATATATATATATATAAGGGCAAAATCTTCTCACATTAGTTTAAGTCTAAAAACTTTTACATTCGATATGAGCCTTTCATTTATTTAACTTAAATCTAACGGGTTATAATTTATTACTTCACTGACTGTTAAATGTAAGTTAAATGAAAAGTTCAGATTTGAGTGTAAGATTTTTTAGACTTACACTAGTGTAAGAAGATCTTTTTTCATATATATATATATATATAGAGAGAGAGAGAGAGATTAGAGAGATTAAAGATCAACAACAAATTCATTAAGTTATTCTCCCAACCTTTTGATCCGGTAAGATACAATTATTGGGACTACATAGATGTCTGGACAAGGACTTTCTAGTTCCAGAACAAAATTAATCTCTTTCAAACTAATATTAGATTCTTTAGTCACAATATCCATCAAGGAACCATCATTCTTATCAGCAGGTCTATTGAATTTGCTGATAAATTTTCAGATAGAATCCTAGATAAAACCCAGTTATCAAGGTTCTTAGGATGTCTTAATTATGTAGGTGATAACATCATCAAACCTTTACATGATAGGCTTAAGAAAAATCTTCCTTCTTGGACTGATAATCATACCAATGTCGTCAAAGAAATCAAAAACAGAGTCAGGAAGATAAATTGCCTATATCTTCCCATTCCTCAAGCTTTTAAAATTGTTGGAACTGATGCCTTGAACATAGGCTACGGAGGTATCCTCAAACAGAGAATTGAGTCACATGACCATATTATTGCATATACTTCAAAACATTGGAATTCTGCACAACAGAATTATTCAACTGTTAAAAAGGAAGTTTTGACAATTGTTTTATGTGTTTCAAAATTTCAATCTGATTTATTAAACCAAAAATTTCTTATTAGAGTAGACTGCAAGTCTGCTAAAGAAATTTTATATAAAAAACCTTACTTCAAAACAAATTTTTGCAAGATGACAAGCAATTTTAAGTGTTTTTGATTTTGATATCGAATATCTCAAAGGCACTTCTAATTCTCTTCCTAACTACCTTACCCGTGAATATTTATAGGATAAGTAGAATACCTAGAAAGGTAATAGCCCCTTCTAGGGGAGGCTCGTCTAGAGGAGGAAGAGTTAGGCTCGTCCTAACTCTTAACAAAACAAAATCAAAGTCTGCCACAACAGACTCTTGTTCTGATTCTTCGGAGTCATCCACTTTGGCTGGGTCATCCACCCAGAAAGCTATCCAGATTATAGAGTCATCTACTCAACAATCTGTGATTCCTAAAAAAAACTCATCCAACAAGGCTGATTCTTCCCAATCACAAACGAAAAGTGTTAAACAAACCAAAGCAGACTATGTTTTTTCTGTTAATACACTTCTAGCCATACAACAAGGTAGCCTAAACAGCCTATCAAAGAAATCTTGGGCAGACATTGCCTCTGATGAAGACATGGAAATTGATTTAGCAAACCTAAACACCATTATCCAGTCCTTCAGCCAATCACAAAAGACAATAAGTCTCCCTGACAAAACAGAGAAAGCTATTAGCCTTTAAAAGGGTAAAACCTCAAATACCAACCATTATATGGCAAAAGAAAAATTTTCCTCTGTCATCCAAATGGAACCCAAATTTTAGGACAAAAACTCATACAAAGTCATCACCAAAGCCTTCCCTCCTGGTTTTCATTTTAGACCATATGCCTTGAATAAAACCAGACAATTTTATGAGTTCATATTAATAGACTCAGATTCTGTCTCTATTAAACATTACAAGAACCAAAAAGATCCTTCAGTAATCACTCATTCAACAATATAGATTTTAAAGATTCTGTCACCAAAGAATTTTGGAAACAATCCAAATACATTTAAGAAATTCTCCCAACCTTTTGATCCGGTAGGATACAATTATTGGAACTACATAGATGCCTGGACAAGGACTTTCTGGTTCCAGAACAAACTCAATCGACACTTTTGGTTGATTTATTTCAAAAAAAATCAAAATTACAATTTTCCTAACTGGTTCCTTCAATGGTGAGACTTCTTTGGACCATTGGAAACAATCCTTCCCTCTCCAGTAAAAGAAGGATTTGAAATATTCAAAAATAGATATGCTCCCAACATAATTGGTGCAAATCTCAAGTATTTCTCTGCCTTTGCAATGGCCTGGGTATTCTCATGGCAGTACAGGTATAGCAAGATAGAAGAAGACGATATTCTTCCCATGATCCACAGACATGCTTTTGTGAAGTGGTGGAACCAATTCAACGCAGAACATGCTGGACCACGTTATGAGGGTGAATTGGTTCCACCACTTCACAAAAGCATGTCTGTGGATCATGGGAAGAATATCGTCTTCTTTTGTCTTGCTATACCTGTACTGCCATGAGAATACCCAGGCCATTGCAAAGGCAGAGAAATACTTGAGATCTGCACCAATTATGTTGGGAGCATATCTATTTTTGAATATTTCAAATCCTTCTTTTACTGGAGAGGGAAGGATTGCTTCCAATGGTCCAAAGAAGTCTCACCATTGAAGGAACCAGTTAGGGAAATTGTAATTTTGATTTTTCTTGAAATAAATCAACCAAGAGTGTCGACTGAGTTTGTTCTGGAACCAAATTTAAAGTCCAAATCTAGAAGAACGTAGTTACAAATAATCAACAGTTATATTCCTACTTCCCCATCAGGCTCTGATACCAGATAACCCATGGATCAAGGAAAGAACAAAAAACAGACTGAAAGGAAAGTAGGCAGTAACAAGACTACTAAATGAAATGCAGAGATGTAAAGTGCAGAATGAAAATGCAGTATTAAAACATAAGAAACTAGAACGGCGGTAGAACCGGCACAGATCCAGTAGAGGGAGAAGAGAAAAAAGTCGGACAACGGTAGTCAGAACAGAACCGGCTAAGAGGGAGAAGAGAGGAAAATAATTTGAAACAACAAACTTTTATTGAAAAAGATCTCAAAGAGGAAAGCTTACAAAGGATTGTTTCTCTCAAAGCTTCTCTCTCTTAACTTACTTAATGAAAGGGTACCTCACAACATGATCAAGGCCTCCTTTATATATATATATATATATATATATATATATACCCAAAATTAAGGACATATTCATAATTAATAATAAAAAATATATAATTTGAAGCTAAACGCACATAAGTCAATAACATTGGAGTTTGCTGCACTGGAAACCCAAAAAAAGAAGGGAAAGAACATAGCACAAAGAAGGACCCATAGGTTGAGAACAATGGATGGAACAGAGGAAGGTCGCAGATGTCAACTTTGTGGCTAGAAACTGTCAAGACAGGCTCTAAAACATAAAAAATAATGCCAAAGAAGGCTAGGTAGTTGTGGTTTGTCCAGGGCTTTTTTACCACTAATACAATTTTATAAACTATTTACCATAATAATATTTGAAAACCAAAACTAAAACCTAAATAAGTGAATTCAACAGTGTCCAAAAACTATCGAATAAAAGGAACAGACACCTATACTAAAATGCAATACGTGTTACACTTAGGTGGGTGGCTTACATTGAAAGGGTGCGCTACACACTAAAGAGCAACATGTGTCACTTTCTAGTGTGTTACTCCTCTTCCATTTGTTCTAAATATTAGAAATTGGCTTGTGGTGTATTATGTTGTATGCTACCTCCCACAAAATCATGTTACTCTATTTTTGGTTGTGAATCTCAAAGTTGTGTTAAATCACCTTAGTCATTGACTCATTTCTTTAGATGAATCACTCCTATTCTATTCAAATGTATTCTCTTGATGGTAGGACACCAATGCCTCCTTTTTGTCTTAGTTATTGATGATTATTGTACTTGCCAGTGTTATCAAATTGCGGCCACAGCAGAAAATTGTGGTGGATTTTTAACAATCTACCATACATAGGTGTGGCATGGTGGGTTTGCAATGGCAGTTCATGGCGGCTGTTTCCTAAAATTTAGACTTCCATTCCACCCCTATTGGCCTTTTTTTTCAGCCTCAACTCAATCTTTCTCTCACTGGAACCTTCCATCTCCTTGACTACCTTCTCTCCCTTATTTTTTCTTTTCCTTGTCTACATTCCTCCTCCATTCTCTCTCCTTTTTTTCATTAATTTTTTGTTTCAACTTTCTTTCTCTTTGCAAATTTTCTTCTCATTTTCTTCTTCAATTTTCCTTCTCTTTTAAGTTTTCCCTCTCAGTCTCAGTTTTCCTTCACTGTTTTTAATTCAATTTTTATTCTAACACCAATGCCTTGGTCTGTGCTACAGTTTTCCTTAAAATGGCCAAACAAGCTTCCTCAATTAGTCTCTATATTTTTCTTGCTTTTTATCACTTTAATTCACTTGAGGCTTGATGGACTTTTAGTATTTATTGAACTTATGCTTTGAGACTTATGCTATGATGTTATTATGAGACTTATGATATCTTTGTTTTCACACATATGATGTGATTTGATGATTTTCTACCAATAAGGTTTTTTTATTTTGACACGTGTAGTTAGTTTTTTTTAATATATATTACATTTTTCAGTTCTTTATATATGTGCCTATATATATAAGGGAAAGATCTTCTTACACTAGTGTAAATTTAAAAACTCTTACACTCAATTTGAATCTTTTATTTAACTTATATCTAACAGCCAGTAAAGTAATAAATTATAACCCGTTAGATGTAAGTTAAATGAAATGTTCAAATTGAGTGTAAAAGTTTTTAGACTTACACTATTGTAAGAAAATTCTGTCCTATATATATATATATATGCTTCCACCATAATTTTATGGCATTTGTTTTTACTTTCTGTCATGACCTGTCATCCACCATTCATAACTTCGGTACTTGCACAAATTTTGTATGCTATCTTTGTGGATATAATATAACTATAGAAAGGAGAGAAAAGAAAGAATATAATTGCTGAATGTTATGCGTCTCTTGTACGCACCTCTATTATTTATAATCAAGTAGTAGGGTACAAAAGAATCAATCAAATTCCTAAAAATATGGTCACCATTATCTACAAAGATATACATGAGATATTTACAATGAAGACTGAGAGAAAATTAAGTTATTTAACAATAAGAACAAGTTAATGAATTTTTATCTTAGAACTTGATATGCTTGAAATTTAAATTCAATTGTTGTTCATGTATAGGTAACTGCTATGTATACTCTTAAGTCAGTGCTTCTAAAGTTCTGTTTATGTAGATGCATTGATCTATCTACTCAATTTATTCTGAATGCCCTTTTTTCCTTCCATTATAATTTATAAGATTTGTATGGCTTGTATAGAATTTTATCATTGTTTTATAAGAAATTCTCATTAGTATATTATTCCTTGGCAGGGTGATGGTAGTGGATGTGTATCTATCTACGGACACAAGTTTGATGATGAAAATTTTACTGCCAAACACACTGGCCCTGGCCTTCTATCTATGGTATGTGTTTGCTCTTTTAACCTTCTGTCATTTTGGGTTTCATGAAAATAGAGACTGCTGATGGAATGGGCACACAAGGATAAATACGTCTGTCCCAGTATGGTATTATATACTGTCATAATCTCTGTGATTATTGATTCTTGAAATAGCTTCTTAACTGGAGCACTAATTGATTGTACACACACAAATCTCTACAAGACATTTGCCAACAGGTTAACTGAAACAATAATCTTACTTCCTGAATGTTTTGGAATCGTTTTATTTTATTTTTTTGCTGAAGTTCAACCAATTTTGGCATCAGTTCAATTTGTATGGCTAAATTATGCTTTCACTTATTGCATTATAAAGAAGGCTCAAGTCCAGTTTGTCTAATCTGCAGGCAAATAGCGGACCCAATACCAATGGTTGTCAGGTAATTTATCCAATTGTCACTCCCTCCCTCTTTTCTCTTTTCTCTTTTCTCTTTTCTCAGTGGTAATGTTAAATTGATAATGCTTTATTTCTACTGATGAATCTTCTCTTCTTGGTCACAGTTTTTTATAACATGTGCAAAATGTGACTGGCTTGACAACAAGCATGTTGTTTTTGGGGTATGCTTCAATATCTTCTGCTGCATTTACTAATTATTCTTCAAACAGCCAGTATGTGAATTTAGTTCTTCCTCATGCTTTATGTCCCCATGTCTTCAAATTAGGAGGCTGGGTATCTGGGTAGCAAGTGTGCAAGACTTATCAACCCTATAAACTTGCAATGATACTGTACCTGAGAGTTGAACAAACCAAAGCCACTATCAAATTTAAGGGGAGGACTAATTTGTCAAAATGTTAGTTGTTTCAAGACATGCACAGACTGCCTATTATGCCATACATGAGTGTAATCTGTAATGGGAAAAAGTGTCATGTTTCCTTTAAGGGGAGGATTAATTTGAGTTATGCTAGCTTCCTTGACATGCCCTGTTCATTGCTTATTATTGTTTAAAAAGAATTTTCACCTGCCTTGTAAAATAAAATTCATATGATTCTCATGTATGCCTTGTTTGAAATGTTACGAGCATCTTCCTACTCCTAAACTGTAAATTTTGTGTTGTGCATTTACCTGTCTTCCATTTATGCAGAAAGTGCTTGGAGATGGTCTTTTGGTTGTGAGGAAGATTGAGAATGTAGCAACTGGACCAAATAACCGGCCAAAATTAGCTTGTGTCATTGCTGAATGCGGGGAAATGTAAATTTAAAGCAACTTCGCTAACAAAGAATAGTTCTCTAAACAATTGATTGAAACCTCCGCAGCAACTGCACTTACTCCACAGATGTGGGCTTTCTATACAACATATATTTCTGTGACCCGTAAAACTAAACATTCTTGTTATGGGATTTTCTGTACGACCGGATAATCATATCACGAGATGTGGGCTTGGGAATGATTCTATGATGCATGTTTTTTGCCCTAAATCATCCATCACACACGCACAGTTAATATATCCCTGCGTATTTTTTTAGTATGCTATTAAGTTATAGCTTTACTTCGCTGGAGTATTTCTAAAGGCGTTTTCTAACATATTCTTTGAAAAAACTAGGGGTATAGAACATTTTTAGGACGGATTTACACACAAATACCAGACTAGCTACAACTGTCTAATCTCCAAAGTAGCAATTTATTCATAATGATTTTAATATAATATGGGGATGTTCTTGCTTTGGATATACTGGTCTTTTAGAAACTGTTCTTTGGGGAAGTAAGATATTGTCGTTATAAGTATTTCTGACTTTTCTCTAAATGACGTGGGGGTGTACTTATAAAAGGCATTTCAATGATAAAGTCAGGTGTCGGTTTAGGCAATAAATATTATTGAATATTCAAAAGTTAATCTTTTATCTGTATTTCTTACTTTTTTTTTATAGATAATTTAGTGGGCTAATAAACTTTATGTTTTAGCCTTATCTTTAGCTTTGTAATTAAGAAGATAATTAATAATTATTTTTTTTAATTTTTGTTTACTTATTTTTAAGTTATCTTGATTCTGATTGAATGGGTGTTCGTCCTCTTAGGTTGAAGAGGTACTCAGATTTTTTTTTTTTTTATAGTAATGATTGAGTAGGATATCTCATCCAGTACAGGAGAAACATAATAACCTATAAGGATGACAATGGATAGAGTATGGGTAGAGTATTATAATATTCATTTTATACCCGCGTTTTAAAAAAATACACGTACTCAGTCCCGTACCCGCGTAGATATGAATATTAATCTTCGTATCCGTATTATATGTGTACCTGTATACTTATCTTGTACCCATTATCTACGCTTGTTTGGAAAAAAAACATATTCATAAAAAAATATATTTATATAACTTTACATAAGTAGTGTAATAATATAAAAATTCAATATATAATTGTCGAATAAGGTACAAATATAGATAAAAAATAAATATTCAAATATTACAAGTGCTAAATGTATCTTAATACAATAATTTTTTAAACTAAATTTCTTAAAAACAATAAGTAAAATTAAACACAAAAGTTTATTTGTCGGAAATGATCCTATATTATGTGAGATTTGATCAATTGGCAATGTCAGAGCGACAACAAAATATATCTACACAATGGATGACCCTTCGTATGGGATCAGTGACCTCTTGTGGCGGCATTGATAACTAACTCTAATGAATAACATTTTATAATTTTTAGATTTTAATGAAACAGATAATAGAGTTAGGGTAGAAAAGTTCAAGTATTAATAATGAAAAGTGAATACATAAAATATTTTTTTAAACTTTTGAATTTGAAATTATAAGAAAAATAAGATTTAATTAAAATAATATTATATATATACATATATATTAATACTAGTATTTTTAACTCATGTACTATACAAAAGTATTTTGTCAAAAATATAAATTTTTGAAAAATTATTTTAATGAATTAAATATTTATAATGTATATAAATTTAAAAGAAAGAATTTGAATAAAAGATAAATGGTCATAATAAGATTTTATAATAAAGAAATATATGTGTATATAAAAAAAATTATATTTTTTTATCTGAAGAAAAAATTAACAAATAAGAATTAACAATAATTTTTTATATTTTATATCTTTTCAAAAACTTCTTTGAACATAAATAAATAGTAAGAATAATATTATTTATATTTAATAGATTATAGTTGTATTTATAATGCACATATTGCATAGAAAAATATTATTTTAAATTAAAATATAAAAAATAAAATTTAAATATTATCAATAAATAATATGTTTATGGTAATAGTAGGTGATTGTAAAATTTATAAAATATTTACAATAAGTTTATTATTTATCATTCGCTTTATAATTTAAATATCAATATAATTTTATTAACAAAAATATTTGTGTGAAAATATTTTATGTCATATATAAATAATAATTTTTTTAAAAATTAATCTCATATTAATTATGTAATAATTAAATTTTATTAATTTAATTAAATGATATAAAGTAGTAAATAAAAATAAATTTTTTAATTTACTTTATTATTAAATATATTTTTATATTAATTTTATATAATTTCATATAAGTAGTATAATAATACAAAAATTTAATACATAATTGTAGAATAATTGTAGAATAAAATTAAAGTATATATATATATATATATATATTCCATTTCCTACTGGATGTATAGTATTTCATATCAAATCAAATGCCTTGAAACTGTTCCTTATATATGTTCCATTTCCTAACCTGAATATGGATACCCGAGTCGATGGCTAACAGGTTGGAAAAGGTGAGATTTTTTCAGCGTAAAACCGTTAAAGATCTACTGCATAAACTCCAAACATATTGTTTGGTGGGGGATTTAAAGGGGAGGAGAGAGGAGAGGGATTTAGATATTCTATTTATTTGTTCATTCAAATATTTTGAGACTAAGGTGCAATTGAAAGCGAATAATTTAAAATTTAATTATATATATATATATATATAATTTATATTAATATAAGTTTAAAAAAATTTATATTTATTTTAAATTTTTTATTTAATTTATATTTAACGTTTAGTAAAATAATAAATTATGACCTGTTAAATATAAATTAAATATAAAAAAAATTTCTTATATATATTTTTTTATATAATGAGTTGATATCTTTTTTTTACACAATAAATTTGAATATATTATTTTGCATTAAGGGAATTTTGTATGAGTAATGTTAAATTTGTATCTTTTGTGTTAACTTTAATTTTTAATATAAATTTAATTTTTTAAAACCTATAAATAGGAAAAGTTATGAAAATGTTTATATTGTAAACCATATATTATATTATCATAATATAATAGTAAATTAATTTTATTTTCTTTCTTTTTTCTCTAAGCTAAATAAAATTTATTTTTCCTTTTCTCTCTTCTCATGAACCAAGCAAAATATCTAATACTCTTTCTTCTCTCTTTACTTCTATTAAAATTTTTTTCTTTTAAACCAAACACACCAACACCATTTATATTTAATAAAAAGGAATTTTAAATATAATAAAAATATTGTTAAATTCAGCTTTTAAAGCTTAAGTTTAAGTATTTATAAATAAAATATTTTTATAAAAAAATATATAGTTATATTATTAAAGTTATAAAAATATAATAAATATTTTTTTAATAAAATTTTACTAGTTATTTTCAGTTATAAAAGTTGAGATTAACAAAATACATATAATAATATACTTTTAAGTTAAATCATAAAAAAAAAATATAAAAATTAAAGAGAGCGTACCTCAATATGGAATCATGATGGTGAGCGGGAGGGGAGAACTCTCCTGAAACCACCAACCTAATTAAGATGGAATGGGGTTTTTCGGTAAACAGAGTAATGGAAAGAACAAAACTTTTATACAGGATTATAGGTATTTTTAGCATTGATCTTTAATTAAAATTAATATTTTATTCCAATAATTTATACAATAAATATCAATATTAAAAGCCAATATACCAATATAAAAACATTAATTTTAATTAAAAAATAGTACAAAAGTACCTATACAAATAAAAATTGAGTATGAATTATTTATTTTCATGTTATTTTCAAATTAAAATTAAAATTCTACTACAATAATGTGTGAATTTTTAATATAAATATTTATCATTTAAATCAAAAATTATGAAAATAAACCTCTAATTATAGTTATAAATAAAAAATACGTAAATTTTATCTTTCAAAAATTGCTTTGGGGACAACTTGTCACCCTAGTGTATACGTGGCATGAGCAGAGGAGGCCCGAATCAAAACGATGCCGTCCCCCCACAGTCACAACCTTTTTCGATGTTCTAATTCTCATTCTCTCATCGTAATGTTCTACCAGTCGCGAAAGGGGGAAAAATAGAACAGAAAGAAAGCAGCAGCAGAAGCGAACGGGTTGTGACTGAGTGAGTGAGTTAGAATGGCGAGCGCGCTTCGGAACGTGAAGGTGCCTCCGAACTCAGCGAGTCTGGAGGAAGCGCGTCAACGAGTCTTCGATTTCTTCAGAGCAGCTTGCAGATCGTTACCCACCGTCATGGACATCTACAACCTACACGACGTCGTTTCCATCCCCCAGCTTCGCTCCACCATCGCCTCCGAGATCCGCAAGAACACTCACATCACCAATCCCAAAGTACTTTTTCTTTTATTTATTATTTAATTTTGTTTTCTCTGATAGGTGTTTTCATTCTAAGACAGTGTTTGGGGATTGTTATTTATTCGCCACCATCGTAATGGGTTTGAATTGATTTTATTCATTCCTCTTCGAAATAGTGAAATAATTTTCCAGAAAATTAGGGCTGTTTTCATTTTTGTTTTCCCTCGCAATAATAATAATTTCAAAACTCAATTGCGATATTGCTACTTTGATTTCATGTTTTCAGAGATTTACGAAGGAATTGGTAGAAACACCGAAACACTATTTTTTCACCGCTTTGTCGCAATTAATTTATATCAATGAATCTGAAAACAAGAAACCGAGCCGAAATGAGGAAATGTTTTTTGTAATTATTAGTGGAAACAATAAATTAAAATAGAAAAAATTATCGGCGTGCTCTTTGATAAGAGAAACGTGATCCTGTTCGGAATCATTATTTTTTTCAGGTATTTTTATTTTTATTTTTTATATTTGGAAGCATTGCAATTGTTGATTCTTAGCTTCCACTTCAAAAATGAAATGTATTTTCAAATGTTTTAGGTTAAATGGATGCCTAATTCTTTGGGATTTGACACTAGACTCAATTCATGGTTTGTTATGCAAATTATATGGTGTGTGTTGATTCCTTTGAATTGGATTTGGAACCAAATCGCTTGATTAAAGTCAAGAAGATTTCTAAGAGAAGGAAGTTTATTGAGATATTTGAATGGACAATGGTGTGAAGATTTTAGTCGCCCATCGGAGTACCTTGAACTTATGTCTCTACTTCCGGAGGTTGAAATGTGCTGTGTGAAAATTCTTGTATAGGCCATTTAGTTGCAAGACTGAGTTGTACTATGATTTCTTTTGGGCACAACGTCATTTAAAGCCTCTAGATTTTGTTTGATGGTCATGTTTTTACTTAGTTGTTGGCAGATTACTTTATTAAACACTTGGATAATGTGGAGAGTCTTTAATGGGTTGACAAGCTTATTGAATTTTCCTTTCTATTACAATACAGTGGTGCCGCATGTAGGATTTCCTAGTCTTGGAATATATTGTCATAATTTTTATGGTTATGAACATTTACCTGATATACAGTATAGTAAAGCCTGCAACTCGTTGATCTGATGTCATCTTGTCAAATTTCAAGGTCTAGGTTATTGATTAGAATTTAGCCTTATCAATAGAAACATGTGAAAAAGAGAAGCCATGTTTTACCGATTTGTAATTTAATGAAGGGTCCAAATTTTGTTCAAATTTTGGGTTTTCCTAGTTCCAACCCATGAATAAGTAGATTCAACCATTTTGATTGTTCTTAGTTGGCAACCTGGGAGTAGGTTGTCGTAGTTAATTACCAGATGCTGGAATAATTTGTTTCGGTTGTTGGAAAATAACCAATTATTATTAATTTTGCTTTCTCTTATTTCATGTCATGTTTGATTTTGCTATATTTTCACAACAACAACAACTAAGTCTTATCTCGCTAGATAAGGTCCGCCATATTGCTATACTTCTACAAATTGAATTTATTGTCTTTTTGTATGACATCGCATATCTTTTTAGTACTTCATACCTACTTTTTGTGTAATGTCTTGGTTACTGACTGGAATTATCTGAAGACATGTCTGATTCCTCCTCTGATTCTTAGACATCATGAAACTTCCAAGCATGAATTCATGATTTCTGTACTCGAGCTCAATGCCTCTTCTCTTCAATGCAAAAGCCATATGTTGTACTTGCACATATTCTATTTAATCAAATTTGATTTGGTATGTCACTGATTTAATGCATCAAAACAATGCATTCAAAGACTTTGAAAATGATACTTCTGTAAAAACTTAATCTCTGAAAGATTTTATGAATATAAACTAATATCTGTGGACATTCAGGTGATTGATATGCTGCTTTTCAAGGGCATGGAAGAGCTGAAGAATGTTGTGGAGCATTCAAAGCAGAGGCATCATATCATTGGTCAGTACGTAGTTGGTCAGCATCGCCTTGTGCAGGATTTGGGAACAAAAGACCAGGGCATATCTACTTTTCTTAAGAATTTCTACAACAGCAATTACTTTTGAAGCTTGATTGTGAGCTGTTCTCTGTTTCCTCAAATAAAGAATTATCTTAAGTTTTATATGTCAATACTGGATTAAGATAATACTTTTGTCAGATTATTCTGATGTATTCATTTTTCCTGGCTTAATTTAAGAAAGTGATGTTTTGATGATTTTGCGCACACGTGCGCATTGCTAAAAATATTGTGACGGTTTACTATTTGACGCCATTGCAAATGGTAAAGATTGCCCCAAATGAATATATCGGCATAGCACGCAAGAGAGTAGATAAACAATATTGTATTTTGGTTTTAAGGCCATGTATTAGATCACTACAATATGCAGGTACTATTTGTTGTTTATAGTGCATTATGTCATTGCATTGCATTTCCCTGTAATTTTGCCATTTAGATCTGCCAGTAGGTCATTGGGTGACAGCTTTGGAGCAGAGGGTCTTCAGCAGACAGAGTGGATTCATCTGGTCATACGATTTTAAAAGAGTGCTTCTAAGTAATGGTTCCTTTTTAAAAGAGAAGTTTTACATATAAATATCAAGTGAAAGAAATTGGGAACTCCTTCTAGTTTTGCCAATAAAGCTGACCTCAAGATTAACTCCATCCAAGTGATTCATGACAAATATTTATATACATTTTTTTAGACTCTCACATTATCCTATAACATCACATCAATTTTCATTACCTTAAGTAATTCAATTAACATTTTACTCTACCTCATCTCTTAAAAAGTTCTCACAATGTATCCCACATCTTTTGTTAGTGATAAAACTTACATAAGATACAATTAAAAATCAGACCCGTAAAAAGAAAAAGTATGGTTGCTCTACCCAATTGTTGCTATCATGTGACTCAAGTGAAGTGCTCTTCCAATGACAATCGATTGCTTTAACAGTTACTCATGGAGTTATTATTCTAGAAGCAATTTGGGTGCTCTCCGATGGCAATTGATTGCTTTTAAAATTACTCATGGAGTTGCTATTTCGAAAGCACCTGTTGCAGATGGCCTAAGAATGGTAATAAAACCTAGATTTAATACTTAACTAGAAAAATAATTTGAAATAAGATTTGTATCCACCAAATCAGTTAGGATTTGATAACATTTAAGTATTCAGGAAGTTGTAAGTATGATTATCATTGTACTTAACTCTACTTATACTTACGTAGTATATTCATTATATTTTTTGTATTAGAATTTAATTTTTTTTAATTAAGTTAAATAATTCTATTTGTGATGTATCTTAAATAAGAACCAGGTGATATATATATTTTTTAAATTGATTTAGATGATTTATTTTAGATCAAGGCTCTTTATTGTTTCTTATTACCATTAATATTCTAGATTTTAATATGTAAACCATAAATATGAAGAAATTTATTTTAGTTCTTTTAAAAAGTTATTAGTTTTAGTCCTTATAAAATTTAAAATGGTTAATGTTATTACTCTTTAATAACATGACATACATATAATTATGTTAACCATTCTTGCGGAGCATGTGACATGATATGTCTAAATGCATGTCATTATGGTAGAGTCAAGATTAAAATACAAGGATGGGGAGATCAAAATTAAAAACATAATATATGATAATTAAGAAAAATTTAAGTACCAAAAATATGAAACAAATTTGATGTATAATTAACATAATATAAATATTTTAACATATTGATAGTCAAAGCTCAGGGCAATGCTTCCACTATGCATTATACTTTAACATATTGACAATCAAAGCTTTAACATACTCTTAATTATTATTAAAATTTATTGAAAAATACAAAAATTATGTGGGTCTCACTTTTTTATTTCTAATTTAATATTTTTTTCTCATATTTTTATAGTTTTTAATAAATTTTAACTCATAATTAAGAGTATATTTAAAAGGATGTGCTGCTATATCTTTGAGAATTTGAAAACTTGAGAGACTGTATCATTTCTCATCACTCCTTTCCTCTGTCTTTACATGTCATGTCTTTATGAAATGACAATGGAAATCATTTTTAAAAATTAAAATTAACAAAAATATTTAATTTAACTGCATTTATAAGGCCTAAAAACATTTTATCTGAAGTTATGAATATTAAAAATATACATTAAGATATAGGTATTTTAAAAGTTTATAATAGATTAAATTAATACTCAATAAATCAAGCCATGAATATTAAAATTATTTTTCATATAGATATGAGCATTTTAAAAAAACACATATATAATGATATATATTATAATAATTTACTCAAATATTATTGTATTTTTAACATGCATTCAGACTCTTAGATATTTTTTATATGACCATTTTTATTGTTGAAAAATACTTTGTTTACTTTTATTTTCTCTTTCTCTTTATTTTAAAGTGCGCTATTTTTTTTATATTTCTACTAATTAAATTGTTTTCTTTTTTTGTAAGACAGTGTCTTTTCTAAATACTTTGTGTCTATTTATTTTTTATAACATTAGTTTTGTTTGAGAGCTTAAGGGAGAAAGAAAGAGTTTGAAAGGTATAAAAAGAAAGGAGAATGGAAGAGGAAGGAAGGTTAATAAAAAAATTCTTTTAGGAAAACATAAAAACATAAGCTTAAGAGTGTTTTAAAAATTTAATACAAAGATTATTATTATTATGTAGGTCTTCCACTTCCATTCTTTTTCTTCTATGATCAACTCTCAAAGAAAGTCTATAGTTTGAAAGGGAAGAAAGGAAGAAGCAATGTTAATAAAAAAAAATTCTAAACTGGGAAAAGTTTAAAACATGAACTCATGAGAGTTTTAAAAGATTTATTAAATATCTTCTTCTAGTCTAAAAATTCCTAATCAGGGTTATTATTAAAGTAACATTCACCTTCCTTCTTTTTTTTTTCTCTAAAAAAGAATTTGAAAAGACTTTGTTTAAAAGTTTAAAAAAAAATAATTAAAAAAAAAGATTCTAAAAATAAGAGAGAAGAGGAGAAAGAGAAGGAAGAAGAATGAGGGGTAATACGAAACTTCTTAAATTGAAAGAACTTAAAAAAGTAAGATATGAGAGTAATATTTTACAAATTACAATTTGTTTATTTTCACACCAATCTATTTATTATCTATTATTTGATTGACTAATCCTTTAAATTAGAACGAATAAGAGTTAAATGATTTGACAATTACTTATAAAATTTGAATTAAGATAATTTTGAATTAGAGTTTTAAATTTTTATTCATCCTTTATTGTAATAATATCTTAAAGTTTGTACCAATAAATTAAATCTCCTATATAATCATTAACTAAAATATGTTAGGATAGTTTTGAAATGTTTATAAACTCTTTTCTTCTCATTTAAAAATTTTAAAATAAAAATAATCATTTTTCTCTACTCCCTAAAAACTAACTCTCAAATAATGGAGATTATTTTGTACCACTTTTTTTATTATCACTTTTGAAATTTATATTTTTAAAAATATATTTTATACCTTTTAAAAAATTAGAATTATTTAAAATTAAATACTAGAAGTCCTTTTATAAATTACTTCTAAAATTTAATTTTTAAAATATATTAAACACATTTTCAAAAATTAATTTTTAATAATAACAATAAAATGAGTGATGCAAATAATAAAAAAAGTAATACACAACAGAATCGAAAGTTTCTTTTTGCACCTTTTTTATACCCTCATTAAACTTTTTATAAAAATTTGTTTCTAAAATACCCTTATGATAAAATTTATATATAAAAAAAAAAAAAACCTTTCCCACACAACATAAAAGTGATTATCAGATTGTTCACTCTCAGGAGAAGATCATGGACTATTCGTTCACGATTTTCATATTTGATCTGATAATATTTTAATTATTTATTTTTTATGGTAATTTCTATTAAGTTTTGGTACTTGCTATGATATTTTTAATTTTAAGAAGCATTGAATACTCTCTCTAAATTATACTAAGATATTAAAAGATATTTATATTTTTTTTAAATAATTTATTAACTCTATTATTAAAATCAACGGTAACGATTGTTCCACGTATAAGGGTATAAAATATTTCCTTAATTTTTAGAGTATTGTAGAATTTATTTTTTTGGAATTATATTTCTGAAATAATCTAAAATAATTTCCAGAAATTTAATTTTATAAGCATCCATAATATACTTTATGAAATACGTTTCCGAAAGAAAACTTTATCCATTCAATTAACTTGTTTGTTGCCGGTGAAAATACTTTCAGATCATGCCAAATTAACTTCTTTCATTCAATTAACTTGTTTCATGCGAAATTAAAACTAAAAATAGAAGGGAATATGTGCCCTATCTGTTATGCAGGAAACAACACTTCCACAAGTAATATATTATTTAACTTTGAGGCATTAAAGATGCTCAACATCAGGACTTTGGTGTGCGCTTTGGAAGAAGACCATAGCTTTTCAGGAGAAAGAAGAAATGTTGGAGAAGAAAATGAGTTGCATGAATAAATGGATCTGAGTTTGAATACGGTGAAAGGGTGTTTTGGATTGAAATTAAAAACAAATTAAAGATTATCTAATATGTAGAAAATTAAATGAAAAAATAATCTCAAATTTATGTTTTTAGTTTAAATTATAGGTTTTTTTCCATCTGTAAACAATGTTATTTGAGTTGAGTAGAATTATTATAAGCGACAAAGTTCTTCATTTAAATACTTAAAGAGAGTTATATTTATTGAAACTCAAACTTTGAAACCCCATGTTTATGTTTGACACTTAATCTCAATGTTGTATTATTTTTATAATTTTTTTTTCCAAAATTACCCATTATGTATTTATGATAAGGGAAAAATTATCCTCCGGTACCTTTAATCTCATTTTTGGCATAAGATCACCCTTATTCTCCATGCCTTGAAGCTTATTAGGTGTTTGAATTGTTGATAAGTGTAAATTCTCTAAAAAAAATTTCATGATTTTATGTTGAAAAAATAGAGAACAAAAGTTGCATAATATATGGAAGAATTAGGTGCTTGTTATAGTATCTATGAATTTAAAAGAGTATTTATATTCTCTTTAGATTAACCATTGTAATTTCTCTGCTATCTTAAAAATTAAAGAGTATTAGCATCTTTTTTAATTAAATCACTAACTTTGCTGTTTATAATATAAAATTAATAGTAATAATTGTTTTGATTCTGTACTTTCTTAATTAGAGAAAGTACCTTCATAATTTAGATATAATTTTACAGTTACGACTATTAATATAGGCAGAAGAAAGTTTTTAAGAAAAAATTGGAAAAAATGATTCTTTAAACGTGGATGAAGGATAAATTTAGAAAAAAATGATTACAAAAAATGTCAAGAGTGGTGTTAAAAGTAAAAAAAATGCAGCGCGCAAAGAAATCCCCAAAACAATCCCCTCCCCTCAGTGCAAAAAGCCATATATTAAACAACCCAAATCACGACAGGAAAAAAAAAAAGCACACAATGCTCAGAGATATTTACCCTTAATTTTGAAATTAAAATCACGATATAGTATAATTTATAATATGGAAAATATACCCCATATTTACCCATCTCGGAACCTTATCGATAATAAGAAATTTACCAATTCAAAACGTGTTCGATTTGGTGTT